GTAAATGATCAGCAAAAGTTTTTTTTAAAAGTGAACCACTCCTTTAAGTTGATTTTTCTGACCCATTGCCTAATATTTGTTCTTGTTTTAAGATGAAACTCACTTCTGATTTTGTGTGCGTTTAAAACAAAAACTAACATCTGACAATGGAGTCAAAAAATACTGTTGCATTGTTTCTGACTCCATTGGGAGATATTCATGGTTTAAACAAAAACTCACTTCATTAAAAAAAAAAAAAAAAAGTTCCCTGTAAACAAGACTTAAAGGGATACTCCACTTTTTTTGGGAATAGGCTCATTTTACAACTCCTTCAGAGTTAAACAGTTGAGTTTTACCGTTTTCGAATCCATTCAGCTGATTTCCTGATATTTAGAAGAATATTAGTAACCAGACAGTTTCTGGTCTCATTGACTTCCATAGTAGGAAACAAATATATATACTATGGAAGTCAATGAGACCAGAAACTGTCTGGTTACTGATATTCTTTTAAATATCAGAAAATCAGCTGGATGCATTTGAAAATGGTAAAACTCAACTGTTTAACTCTGAGGGAGTTGTAAAATGAGCCTGTTTCCATAAAAAGTGGAGTATCCCTTTAATATCCTCGGTCATTTTGCTTCTTCTCCAGTAAATGAATCTTGATTTAAGAACGTTTCGATATTTGTGCTGGAAAACAAGAGCATCATCATTATTTGCGGTGCGTAACATGAAGTATGAAACTATGATTCATCTGGAGATTCATCTCGAAACGGTTTCTAAACCCCCTAAAAAACCATCAGAGTAAAGGACAAACAATCTGTTCTGATGTCAAAGCCAAACATCCACAAGGGACTTGAGCAAAACCCAAGCCGGATTGTGAAGCTTCTGAAGGATTTCGACTTGCACAACATCTAAGGACACGAACTTTCTCCCAATTACTTTTAATAGGAATGAGTTAATGTTGGATGGCTCTCCTGAGGGTTTGCGGAGCTTCCTAACCGGATCAGGAAGGAACATGTTTTCTGTCACGGCCTTCACGTTCGCTACGACTGCGAATCCCGTGAATCCAAGGGAAGGGTCTTCCCTGTTCCTCGAGGTGGGCCGGAAAGGGGGGGGGGGGGGGGGGGAGTTTAGCATCGGTCACTTCATCTACTGGGAAGCGTGTTCCCAAAGACCTTCAGAGCTCAGTGTTTAGTGTCTTCCTGACACAGGGAGTTATGGTCTCTGATAGCAAATGCATCTCAGGAAACCTTCTGGACTTCACCCTGAGCTCTGCGCTTCATATCGCACTCGTTTATGGACATGTTCACATTGCATCACAGTTGTAATTAAAGAGCAGAAGATAAGCCTCACATTCACGACACACGAGCAGAGCGGATCTCAGTGTGAAGAGCTCACAAAACCAACAACCACCGCAGTCCGAAGGTGCAAAGTGTGCAAAAACTCATTCCAGTTTCATTTGATCGACGCAATTAAAACGGGACCGTTGTTTCTGCTCGCCATCTATGATGAGCTCATATGATCTCTCATATAACACTCGAAGGAATGCTGGGTTGTTTAAACCCAATTTCCAGTCAAATATGGACAAACCCAAACGTTGGGTTGCATTTTTAAATTGCATTTTTAATCCAATGTTCGGGTTTGTCCATATCTGACTGGAAATTGAGAGCATTCATTAGAGGGGGAAAAACATTACAACTTTTACTGACAAAAGACTTCATGTTCAAATGCTTTCATGGGACTTCTGAATGACAAATTTGATTGTCATTTTCCATGCATAGTCAAATACTGTTTGCAAAACTAGATGGCAATCCATATGCTCATTTGATAGTTGTGATTAAACAAATGAGGCGTACATGATAAACAGAGCAGGAAACACTTTCCCTCGTATTATGTTCAAATTCTGGCTGCCATTTTTATGAAAATTCACACTATGAAAAACTGGTAAAACCTGTATAGTCTAATATTAATACTTCTTATGCATTACAATAAAATTAACATGAATTTATGTTTAACAATTTAATCATTTGTTCACAAAAATATGAATATTATAAACAGTATTGCAAATATTTTCTATTATGATTTAGATTTTTAGTTTATTTTAAATGTTTTTATGTTTGTGTGTTTCCCTGTCTGCCACAAATCCCTCAGTGTGTAGATGAGAAATTGAATAAAAAACACTATGTCGGGTGTGTGTTAACCATGAAATTATTACAAACATCAAAATCGTCAGCGATTTTGAACACAATCCATAGCAAGTGTCACAACTTTGGATGCATGTCCATGACCAGAAATGAGAAATTGTAACTAAATAAATTCCTAGGTTAACCAGTATTTCTGTCAACTTGTGGGTCAATAATGTGGGTATTTTTAATGCATGTTTCAATGCGTGGAACTATTATATTCGCAGATTACATCTGGAACGGCTTGTTTGCCGTGTGTTTCAATGTACAGTATTAAGGCGTGTTCAATGAATAGATAAGAAATACTGTATTTTTACTGTGGTTGCAATTATTCATACAAGACCAAGTCATTATAAGGCATATTGTAATTTATAATTGTATAATGCTTACATATAAAAGCCTCAGATTTACTTTAAAAATCCCCAGATTTCAATGTAAACAGCAGTACAATGACACTTCTCAATGCACATCAACACTGGAGGTAAGACAGACACACACACACACACACACACACACACACCGTGTGAATATATACATGCAACCCACAGAAGCGTCTGCCTTCACGTATGCAATGGTGCCATAACTGGTTCTTGGAGCTGAAGTTCCAGCCCATTGAACTGTAAAGCGAAGGAGGCATGTGTGTATGTGTATGCGTGTTTGTGTAAAGGTGCGGCTTATGGCCACTAATGAAGTGAATGCTTCTGTATAATCCTGAAATCTGTGTAGGAACACGTGCAAGATAACACACTAAAGCATATCTGAGCTGTTTCAAAAGAGACACGATCCATCATTTTTACGCTGAAACCAAACAGCCACTCCTGTGAATGCACACACACAAACACACACACACACACTAGTGCTGCAGTAGTTTTCAGTTCACCAATGAGCAAAGTGCAGCACAAAGTGATGAGGAGTTTTACCATTAAATCAGTGTAAACAGTGTTTCTGCTGCGATTTCCACACTTTACACTTATGACAACAGGGTAAAGTCCATCATTGAGTTATATAACATCTGTGTCTCACTCTACTGTACGAGCCTTACACGCACCATAACGGCTCAAACCACACGGGAAATGAGCAAAGAAAGTTTTAGGATGTAAACATGTAAAACAAACAAACAAATGCAAAATGTAGAAATCTTGTAGCACTGTAAAAAATATTGTTGGTTTAACTTAAAAAATGAAGTAACCTGGTTACCTTAAAATTTTAAGTTGATTGAACTGGAAAAATTGAGTTAATACAATGAAGGAGATTTATTTAAGCATCAGAAACTCGACATATTATGTTATCTGAACTACATAAATTTGAAAAAGAAAAAATGTTGTGATTACAAATGATGGAAATATTTTTTACAGTGTAGGTGATCAAATGTAAGACGGATATTTTTTTTAAGAACATGATCATCAAAGAGATTTACGCCGATTACTATTTTACATTCGTGTTCATTTTTCAGTCCAACGTTCATTGAAATTCTTGTAATGAAAAATTCATATTAAAATAGAAAACAGAAGCATTTATGGTAGTCTCAGACTTTTGGACTATATATGCAAACACAGACACACAGACAAACAACATACAGGAGACAAGCATGAACACACATCAATGACACACACAAACATCACAATAATGATAAACACAATAATAATTGACAAAATTTCAATTTCCATGTTCAGTTTCTGTTTTTCTTGTTTGTTCTCGTCCTCCATTTACGATTACTTTCTATGCAAAAGCTCAGAGTGGGCAAGCGGACGTCAGATTCACTGCTAAAGCAGAATTAGACATTTACTGACCCCTCTTTCTTTATTAATGTCGCAATTTGTGTTTGCATCATAAATGTCATACGGTTCTTTGCTTTCCTAAAATAACTTCAGGCCAGACATTGTGCGTCGACAGCTATTCTGTTGCCCGTCACAAGAATCTGGCTTTAGTTCTTCAATTAAACACTGCTTACACCAGCAAACATTTGATTTTCTTTTTTTTTTTATGGATATGTTTGTGTAGTTCAACTTGAAACTCAGCCTTCAGTTACTGTACGTTGAGGAGCGAGAACGTGTTCATCTTAGCTGATGACAAACCAGTTCATATTCATATTGTGCAATCTCAAGTATCAAATAAATACTCAGAAAACATCCTTTTCTTCTTCTTTTACACACATGACATTAGTGACACTCAAACCCAATCTCAGACTGGAGACTGCAGGCTCGCTTTAGAGAAAACTAAAATCTAAATCTCAGTTTATTGTATAAAATCTCCGCAGACAGAGCTCAAATTATAATAAAGTATATAAGAAAATATAGTTCCAGCAATATTTGGACAATCAAGAGAAAGATAAAACATCACATAAATATCAATAATAGTTTTTGTCAGAATAGCCATTTCTCTTTAAATCTGGTGTTTCTGTTTTTTTTTTTAGTGGATGTATAAAGTCAGTTATCATGTTCAAGCACAAATACACAAATATTAACCCATCAACCGATTTTATTATTATTATTATTTCAAAAAAACAAATCTAACACACAATGACTCTCACTGTTTTGAGGCCTCTATGATTAGCCTACTGTAAATTATTCACTATGAAAGTCAAAGGCTTTCCTCTAAAATAATCAGATTATTACCAGACAGACACATCAAATCTGGAAATGCTTATTAATTCTCAGCAAATGGAAGTGTGTAAACTTTCTCATAAACACGACAGTCACTGAAATGAAACTATAAAACTAAACTCTCATATTAAACACACACACACGCGCGCACGCTTCCCAGTTAATTACCAGGTCCTCAGAATTCACCTCAAATACCATGTATAAAGTGATATTATAATGTCCCAGTTCCACTTACCCGAAGTGAAAGATGTTTTTCTAATATTGAAGCGTCTGTGCAGCATTAATCTGCAGTGAGTGGACGAGTGCAGATCTTCAGGATAATATTCACCTGCTGCTCACTAGAGCTGGTCTAAAGTGCACTGACCTGTAGGGGTCTGAAGGTGTTCACTGACTGCTCCTCCTGTTGCCTGTCGAGGGTGTGTGTGTGTGTGTGTGTGTGTCGCAGGAGTTTCCCTGCTGTCCGGGTTCGGGTCGGTGTGTTACAGACACTCAGTCAGTGTGTGTGTGTGTGTGTGGAGAAAGAATATCAGGGCTCAACGATAGATCTAATGGCGTTGTCTCAAAACACAGCGAGGTTCCTACTATACAGCATTTTGAGGGAATATGTCCGTGCGCGCGCTCTCTCTCTCCTCTCTCTCTCTCACACACGCGCGCGCGCATGTGCCCAACAACGTACAGGCGTCTATCCATGCATTAATACGCTGCACACTTATTATTTTAAACGATTTAAATTAAATTTTCTCAAAGTGCTTTAATTTAAAAACTAAAATGACTCGACATTATTATTAATTTTTTTTTTCAGATAACTAAACATACAAAAACATTGTTTTGCATTAAACACGTGGGAATGGCCACGCCGCCTGGTTAGTGAGCTCCGTGTGTGTGTTGCGACCCCGCCTCGGTTCCTCCGCCCACCGGGAACACCTCTGGAGCACGTGGAGAAAGCCGGAAGCACCGAATCAGCGCAGAATTATTATTTTCCATAACTCCTGTTGTCCGCTCGAGTGATCACGAAAAATGTTTCAAGCACCAAAACAGGTAATTTTGGCATTTAGCCAAATTTCGTTCCCAATGTTATTGATGTATAATAATAACAACACCTTATAGTAAGTTTCATTAAGTGCTTCAACTCGCACAAAATGTTAACTCAAATCATATTTTTGCAACTGGGTTCATTGACTAGAACCATTAGAGTAGTTTCTCTCACTTCTGCCTGAAATCTACTGTAATCGCCATGACACAGCAATCAAATGATGTTACAGATTATTGCATCATCGTTTCACATGATCATAAGTTTAGATAATGTGTAATAAAGATTTGGAAACTGATGGTGTGCAGGTTTGAGTCTCTGAAGGATCATCATCAGTCATATGACCGAGTGTGGTGGTTATGAGTAAGCAATGGATTGTGTGTATATTTGTGTTTAATCAGCAAGATTATAATTACACACTGATATCAACCTTACAGACAATTCCATTTGAAAATATTAATTGAGATATAGTTTATTTTTGTAGATAATTGTTTTTCTCACTTGATTTACATCATTATCGGACTCTCAAGTCTTCTGTCAGATTAGTGGGAATGACTTGAAATGATTAGCTGATGATAACATTAGATGAACATTATTAACAGTTAGCAACAATATTAGTCCCTTACTGCCACCTTCTGGAAACTCATATTCTCTAGTCTAAGATTCATAAAGGAATGGCAAATATTTTAGGCTTGCCTTCTCTCAGAAGGGAAAAACCCATGAATTTCTTTCCTTTGTTGATAAGCAGATGGCCAGGGATTTGGGATTTGCATTTACATGTTTTCATTTCACTTACTTAAAAATGTTTGTAAACCCGTTGCATTAAAATTATTAAGTGGTAACACTTTACAATAAGGTTCATTAGTTAAAGGAGAACTCCGGCGCAAAATGAACATTTGGTCTAATTACATATTGGTACCTAGTCGACCGTTCTCTGAGATTTGTTTTCATGATAATCGAATTTAAAGAGTTTTATCTCTAAAAACTGTTTAGCGTTTACACTGGTAAGTCCCACACTAACACAGTAACATAATGAGGGTTCCGACATTTAAAACGAAGCATTGAGAACTTTGTAAGTGTACAGACCGTTTTAAAAGCCACAATATGTATTTTTTCTGCATTAAAAATAGCAAAAATAACTGTATCTATGTTATATATTTCTGTTAGATATGTACTTACATTATCCCGACAGTTTCCACCAAATTTCAAATATGGAGAAATTTATAGTTTAATTCGAAGACACGGGACGTTTCTTTATTTCCGTTTCGTCGCCCGTCTATGGCGTCATATAACCTTTGACTCCTCTATTTTCTCTAACTTCCTTGCGGAGCCCGGCGAAACCGCCAAACACAAAGGGGAACACTGGACTACCGCTAATAAAGCAAAGAAAATGACGAAATAAAAAAAGTAGTACGTATTTTTATGTGTGTAAATCACGTGCCCGCTCACGAGCGCTCACTCTTAACAGACACACTGTGCTGCTCGCGCATAAAGCGCTCCCCGTTCACAGTAACCGTGTTGTCTCATTCAAAACAGCCAACTGTTGCTGTTAGCGAGCCGCGCACATTGAATACTCTTATGAGTCAGGCTGCGAATGTACGTGCCCGCTTCAGCGCGCTCATGCTTACTAAATAAACGCCTCACCTCCGGCGCCGCGCACTCACTACATTCCCTTTAGCCTTTAGCACATAGTGGATGAATAATGCAAACCCAGTCAAGTTTGACTGCAGTATCTTATGTGCTTTATAATCCGGTGCGCTCTATATATGAAAAATGTTTTAAAATAGGTCATTCATTGAAGTAGCGTAATATAAATATTTATATTCGTCTGTATAATAGTTATGGACCACGATTATGCTTTGCCTGCACGTTCTGCTGCTACAGCCAGCTCATTAGCTAAAGCTCAAACGTACCTGAAAAATATGACCCGAGAAGGGTTTGGGACAGGAGAAGCATGACACAGGTAAACATTGGGGTTGCATTTAAAGCTTCTTGACAAGCTAAATCTACAGAGAGATGCCGTATATCCGTATATTTTGTGAAACGATGATGTCATGTCATGAGCTGAGCTGGTTGTCATTGACAGCGACAACAACTCCTGTGAGCCCACGCTCTTTCCCGATGTCATCAAAGTACGTCTTTTGTTATTATTTTAAACGAGTGACCCCTGGTGGCCAAAAATCGCATACTGTACGTTTAATAAGAAGGTATTTTATAAAGGCAGTCCACTTCGTGTATACAGGCAGCAGCCATCTTTGGAAAACAGTCTCGACTAGTCAAACGACGAACAACGTGCCAAGTTAGCTGAGGTGTCTGAACGTCGTTCGTTGTTCGACTTGTCGAGACTGTTTTCCAAAGATGGCTGCTGCCTGTGTACACGAAGTGGACTGTCTTTATAAAATATCTTCTTATGAAACGGTCTGTACACTTACAAAGTTCTCAATGCTTCGTTTTGCATGTAGGAACCCTCATTATGTTACGGTGTTAGTGTGGGGCTATTTTGAGCCTTGTTAGTGGTATTAACTAGCGATTTCTCTTTATTTATTATATTCCCCCATATACTAGCGTTATACGCTAAACAGTTTTTAGAGATAAAACTCTTTACATTCGATTATCATGAAAACAAATCTCAGAGAACGGTCGACTAGGTACCAATGTGTAATTAGACCAAATGTTCATTTTGCGCCGGAGTTCTCCTTTAACATTAGTTAATAACTTGAACTAACATTGAGTAATACATTTGTTACTGTATTTATTAATCTTTGTTAATGTACAGCCGTTCATTGTTTGTTCAGAGTGCATTACATTGAGCTATGTGAACTTGACAATTCCACTACTTAATTTTTTCGATTTAGCATGAAGTTTATTCAATTTTAAGGCAACGGGTTTACTAATATTTTTTTTAAGTTTAAAGTCAACTAATCAGTTTTTACAGGGTCCTAAACATGTGAGGAAACAAACATAAAACTAGCGAAAGGTTGCAAACACATGCGTAACAGTGCGAGTGGCCGCTCGATGCTGGAGCTGAATGCACATATAATGCACAGAATGCAAACGCGATGTCAGTGGAATGATGCGCCACATGTTTATTAACACTATACAGAGAAAACAATCATCACCGGGTCATGCAAAGCATTATCACTGCACACAAAGAAAACACAACATGAACTGTGATGCCGGAATAAACAGATATTCAACTTAAACTCCTGAGATGTTAAACGTACAGTACAATACAATATGCAGCAGAGATACTATAAACATGGCACTCATGAATATCTAGACAGGTTGAGAAGTGTTAAGTGATAAGCTAAAATATTCCACTGAAATCCCAGCAACCACTGCGCTGAAACCGACCAGTCCAAGCACTGATTATTGTAGGAAACTTGAATAGGAAAGTGCTTTATAAAGATCCCGAGGTATTGTTGAACGGCAACACTTTACAAAAAGGTCCATTAGTTAACAACATTAGTTAGCATGAACTAAGAATGAACTGCACTTTACAGGATTCATTAATCTTTGTTAATGTTTAATTTCAACATTTACTAATACTTTATTAAAACCTTGTTGCACTTTGAATATGAACAAACAATGAACAGATGTACTAACGTTAACAAAGATGAACAAATACTGGAACAAATGTTTTGCTAATGGTTCATGTTAGTTAATACTAATTTTAACTAATGAACCTTATTATAAAGTGTTAACTGTTGAACTAATGTCTTACTGGCTAATGCTTACAACACTCCAACTTGTTACACACATACACACACACACACACACACACACACTACAGGGGATAAACAAGGGAAACTAGTCACAAATATTTGTCTCCGGGTAAAGAAAACACACTTTCACGATACAGCTAGAACATCGAGGGTTATAGACGCCTTCGGCATTCTCCGGCCTCCTGTAACTGATCACTTTAGATCCATCCCTCCTCAAATACATCCCAGTGTTTCGACTCCAAAATGTAGACGCCAACACTGAACATCACGCTAACCTTCGTTAGTAACACTCGGATAATTACAGCAGAGTTGGGAGGAGGGGTTAAATGTACAAGCTACATGGAGTTAACCTCAGACCAGGATGAGTTTCTGTCATCGAGTCCCTGGCCACCATTTTGTCAACCATTGTGTTGTTAGTCAGAGAACAGGCTGGCGAAAGACTTTCGCAAGTTTCGGATGGTCTCCGCCTTAGTTTCGTCCTCGTTGCTGGAGCGGAAGGTGTCGCCAAAGGCGTTGAAGGCATTGGTCAAAGACTGGGATTTGCTGCAAAACAGCGGACAAAGCAGAAGCAAAATTAGATCATAACTTCAGGATTACGCCTTCATTTGGGCCTTGTCCACTAATAGACCTTATTCAGAGCAGCGCCATGACAGGTATGAAAGTGAGGCTGTGAGGGATAGACTTACCGTGTTTCCAATGGCATCCGCTGTAAAAAGCTGAATAAAGCTCCTAGATAACTTACAATTTTCCACGGCTTACATTGTCGGGAGTTTTTTTGTCAACTGACATTTCTTGGAAAGATATTTTTCCAGTGTTTCATGAGCAGAACAATCCGAAAACACATTAAATAACAGTACAGCCCATTGAAGAGATGCAAGTCTATCCCTCACAGCCTCGCTTTCATTCTCATTAAAAATCAAAGATGGCGCTGCCGTAAATAAGGCGTATACGTTACGTTTTGAAAATGTATCTTTTTCTCTGCGTTTTGTCTTTTCGCACACACCGAGACGTGTTTTTATTAATGAAAACAAAGCTTTTTAAAAACGCTCTCCAAAGTGGATACATTTGAAAACACGGTTTTCGTGTCGTAGTGTGGACTGTCTAAAAGATGACGCAAGTTTAGTCATGTGACGCATATTGTACCAATAGATATTGATGTTTATAGCCGTATTGTGCCTGTTATCTGATATTCACTTTCACATTGTTGCTGAAATATGTTCCTCTTCATATCACAGTCCTGCACAGAATACAGAATACACTCGCATCTGCTGTCCTGCGGTGAA